GCAACCCAAGAATTACTCTATGGAATCTTTTCATCAACAGAGATATTTTGATATATATTATTTGTATCTATTTGTTTTTATTTTTCATTCAGAAGGCCTTTTTTTGGAAAATCTCATTTCAACTTCCAAAATAAATGACTGTATGTAAAAAGGTAAAGTGGTTAGAAAATTGGTTGCTAGGTATTCAGAATTGTTGCCATGGGTTAATAAAGTAAAATTTATTTATTTCAAACCCATATTAAATTGACAATTTGCCCTATTACAATTTTGAGAATAATTGTTGATTTATTTCTAATATACATATTTTAAAAGGGCGAAGAAATAACTGTTTTTGCATTGTAGCTAGGGAAAATTTTCTGTTGCCATGGATATTAATCATTATAAATTATTCTTTCATTTTAAAATTACATGAGAGTTATTTTCTATTACTTGAAAAATTGTATCTGCCACAAAAAAGATAAAAAATAATAAGATTTTTGACCAATCCCTTTACCATTTTTCACTTTTTAGTTATCAAAACATCCAATTTTGTTGCTAGGCAACGAATAGGATTTTTGAAAAAACCCAGGCTTTCAAAGTCAATCTGTAAAAGAGAAAGTTCTCTACTTTTATGTGAAAGTCATGCAAAATCTGTATTAGCTTGGTATTTTTTTAAAATTGACCTTGAATATTGTCAAAATCAAGGAAAATGCTGAATCAGCAAAAATGCAAAAACATACACATATTCTAATGTCTACCATTGTACTAGCTACAGATAAAATATCAATGTCTTGTGTGTTTTGAACAAATAAAGTGTGTGTCTTTATCATACCAGTAAATGAGAATTATTTTTAAAGTTTTTATATATAATTTCAGGGTTTAAAGATCAGTGAATTTCAGTGCCTTCAAATAGAAAAATTGGCTGGTTGCTAAGGAAATTACTTTGATCAGGTTTCCATAGTAACCATGATCCAACACATTTTTTATTTTACCTACATGGATCATAGTTCAAGAGAAATCTATGTGTGGAAAATCATTGAATTCTGAGAACCTGAGTGAATCACCTTTTGCATGATTTTTATATGGACTGGTACTTAATATATTTCTGTGTGACCGTGTTTAGCAACATGCAAGCCTCCTCCCTTATTCACAATTTTTGTTGAAGTATAGTCAAATATAATGTCTTCCCCAAATAAATGTTTTTTTTTTTCCAAAAAAGGTTCTTAGGCTTGTAATAGCTGAGAAAAAATGTTACATTTCACTGTTTTTTTTTTCTGTGACATTAATGAAGCCAAAGAGATGACACTTTAGGCTTTCTGGAAAGTCAAACTAGTAAACAAGTCAGTTTTTAACATTTTCCAAGTGTTTCTTGGCTTTCAGTAGAATCCAGTGGTTTTAAAATTTAGCACTAATGTTAAAAACTTATTTACTATATATTGCGGACATCGTTCAATTACATATAAGTATCTTTTTTATTAAAATAAAAAGTGAAGTCTTTCCTGCTTTTTAATTCTAACCCGATTTAATTTTTATACTCGGTCTTTCTTCTTCATGCTAAGTAACACAAATAAGATAATTATTTGTTGCATTTACTTGTAAAAATATATGTGTTTATATAGGAAGCGCAAAAGTGCGCACACAAAAAACATGACATTATATTTTCTTCTTTATAGCAATTGTTAAAGAGGGTTAAAAATGTTGAATATAGTCTATTCCCTATTCAATTGACCCTGTTATTTCAGGTAGAGTGAAGACATTCTCATTCTTTTGTTCAACACTTTTGTGTACAAAACAATGTAAGGAACAATACCAATGCTGAAGCAGCCTATATGTCATTCCTATAAACGATAACTCATAAATCGGCACTTAGTTGGTCATTTTTCACATCTGAGTTACCTGTCCTTCAAACACAATATCGAAGTAGTCAACTACAAATAATAAAACTTTTTAATGATGTAATTAAAGGTATGCATAAGATATTACCTTTTTTGATATTTTCACGTCCCTATAAATTAATCTCTAATATGTTTTTACCATATGTACAACTTGAAAAATTAGTTGAAAAGTCTACAAAACACATGAAACTGATTACTGTATTACAGTCTAAAATTATTTTTTTTCAGTTAAATTTGGTGTCAAATTGACAGAATTCTGTAGTAAATATATAAAGGTAAAATTAAGTTAAGGTTTAAAATCAACAGAAGTGATCGAAAAAGACCCAAAATACAGCGTTAAGGTCAAGATCTAGTAAATAAAGGTGCCTACAGATTTATCAAATTTAAGAAATAAATTTCTTTAATGATGCTTTATAGCATTAGCTTGGTCAAAATAGGTGTTTCGGGGCATAAATTGTAGAAAAACAAGATGAAGAACCATTTTTTATACTGTTATTTTCAATGAAAAATTAAGAAAACCAGTCATAAAAGTATAAGTTTTTTCCATACCAAACAAAGAAAATGTATCTGAATTGCCTACAGTTTTTCAGAAAACGGTAATTTGTATGTTCTTAGTCTCTAGTTTAAAATAATGTCAAATTTAAGATAGATATCGGGACTACTTTTCATGTGATTTTTAATTTAATTCCAAGAAAATGCATCATTTTCTACATAATTCTATAAGAGCCGTAAAGTACGGGAAAAAGAAAATTGAAAGTGATTATGACGTCATAATGGATTTAGCACTGAAAAGTTCTAAAGTCATTTACTAGATCTTGACCTTACAGCGAATTACGAAATAGTGGTAAAGTTTTCAATAGCTTGCTAAATAGCTCAATAGGGTATAGATTTGGTCTAACAAGTATCACATTAGGTTTGAATCTAGGTCATGAGGTTACTCAGGTGTATCATTAGTTTTTGCAGGTAAATGTGAGTTGATTTCAATGTTGTATGAAGCCACATGTATCTGCCCATGTGTTCTGCTGTAAATAAATGCATTATTCTTTAATTGCAAATATTTTTTTTCAGTATAATTTTATGCCAACTCTTTCAGTAATGCATAAATCTTCTGCGTACTGTACTTTCAACTTGCTTTAAAGTCTTGTCACTTCCGAAACAAACACCTTTTTAATCTATGTTCATGACCTGCAAGCAATTCCAAATTAGAGAGTAATTTTTTTCTTTAGGACAAAAATTCATTCTTGTCAATAAACAACACCAACAGCACCATGTGCTTTAGATTAAACTGTGAAAAATTGCTCAATCCTGCATCCATATATTTCCAAAACTATGAATACACTACTTGTTGTACTCTTCAAAATCTCATCACCCGTGGTAATTTAATTAGATTTTATAATCTTGTTAGATTAATTTTAAAAGCTTTTAAAAAAGTATTTGAAAACCAAATACAAGAGAAAATATTGGGGAGGTTGAGAATGGAGGGATCAAACTATAATTATGCAAAAAGTTGCAAATTTGAACTGTTGGGGCCCATTTTAAGAAGGAATTTAGTTCTAGACTCTCATCACTGAGTAAGTTTGTGAGATTACGGTAATTGCTTTATTATATAAAATTATCTTACTAATTTTTTCATAAAAAGTATATAAAATAACAATTTAATGAAACGATGTAAAGAATAAAATAAAGAAATTTACTTGGTTTAGAGATGCTGATAATTAATAAATTCAATATGATTATAAAATTAGGTGTTATCTATATTACTATTATATTTATGTGTTTATTTATAATCAATGAGTTGAGAGAGAATTGGAGTGGGAAGCTAACTTCCTAACCTTGTTAGACAATAACTTTTACGAGAAGGGGGGATATGTCATTCTTTAATTCTGCAAATTTATTGAAAAAATTGCAATTAAAGAAAAATAATGCATTTATTTGCAGCAGAACACATTGGCATATACACGTGGCTTCATAGAACATTGAAATCAACTCACATTTACCTGTAAAAACTAATGATACACCTGAGTAACCTCATGACCTAGATTCAGACCTAATGTGATACTTGGTAGACCAAATTCTATACCCTATTGAGCTATCCAGCAAGCTATTGAAAACTTTACCACTATTTCGTAATTCGCTGTAAGTACAGTCATCCTTTGCAATAGATCCATTGATAATTCTAAAATAAGACTCATTCTCAAGTCGAATGTCTGATTTCACAATCTTCTTACAGGGGTCTGATAGACCATATTTCAGACTATGTGGGCAAAAAATGTGCGGTTAAATTTCTTTCATATCATATATAAAGAGATATTTTGTATCCTAGAACAAAACATCAAAGTTTCAGAAAAAATGAATTTGAAGAAAAAAGTGGCCTACCTATTGTGTCCTACCTTAAGACATGTCTGTAAGGACATGACAACACATGGATATTATGGTAAACTATGTGCCAACCAATGGACTAATGAATTATAAGCAGCAAATGGTTTACTTTTTGTTAATAGAATGTACAACATATAGACTTATCATTTAGACTCACAATAAGATATCAGTATGATTACACCTTGACATGTATCTCTGAAGTCCCTCCTCACAGAAATGTGAATTTACATAATCCGTCCGCAATCACCATGGCAGGATAGTATAAAACCTAATGTAAACTTTGCTTTTATTTTTCAATGTAGAGTACACACAGTCATGTCCAAATATACATCATCAAAACAAAAAACGAAAATAATAGAATAACAAAAAGTATAAAGAGATACTGTGAAATCACTAACTTTCATGAGAATTAATTTTCGTTGTTTTCGAAGTATCGAGAGACCAACGAATTTATGACCACCACGAAATGTAAAATTTCATACGCATTACCTACTTAACATTCTCCAACCACGAAATCAAATCCCCACGAACCAATATTTTTTTCCTAAAACCTCGAAAGTTTGACCCCACAAAAATAAGTGATGTTACAGTATGTACCAGACCAACAAAGTAAATTAAAAGTTTTTGCCTTAACTTTTTGATAGGTTTCTCAAGACATTCTGGAAAGTACTTTGCGGCGTCTTTGCGCATACATGAATGTTTTTTCAGATATATTGCAAAAATGAAATGGTAATCAGAAATTTAAAATCATTCAATTGTTCTTCTACATAACTCATTTTGTATACAGTCTATTCTAAGTTTTGTAGCTTTCTGCAATTTATGAGATGGATCCTGTTTAAGCGACTCTTGATAAGACCGTAACGCTCCGTGAAAGTCTCCCACAACATGCTGACAGATTCCTAGTATCTGCCAGGATATGTCTCTGCGACGGAAGGGAACGTATGATCCATCATCATAGAGCAGCAGTGTCTGTAGGTCTGTCAGTGACTGTAAACACTGAGATCTATTACCTAGTCTATAGTGAGATAACACTGACAACATTTCTACTATTACAAATGGTGGAATATGTAAATGAAGTGAATGCTGAATTGCGGCGGACTGTTCTAATGTTAATTCTTCAATAAAGCATATCCTAGGATCAAGTATAAATGACAATACCCAAGCATTTTTAATTCTCCTAGACAAAGACATGTCACTCACATATTCCCTATATTTACATCTGTCTCCCATACCGTTATACATAACATGGGGCTGGGATAGTCTTTGTTTTGTCAGGTTAGTTATGCACAGTGCTTCATTATATCTCCCTGTCCTATAGTAATACAAAGCCAAATACATTGAAAAGCATTATAGTTCCTATCTGTGATGACAATTTCAACATGTTGCAAAGTTTTCTGTCCAAACAGTAAACATATTTATGCTTAAAATATTGGACACTGTTTACAATCATGAAAGCTGCTTGAACAAGATACTCAGCTGTCCAGTATTGAAATGTCAATAATTGATAAGGTGACAGTGACAAATGAAACACTGTGTCAACAGATTTTAACAATAAAAATGTTGCTGCCAAATTAATATCAATTTTTATACTCCAAATTTCAATTAAGATACAACGATCATTACATGCAATGTCGTTACAATGTCCTTCTGATGAGGGGATCACCAATGATAGATCGTAAAGGGCTGGTTCAAGGATAGATCTGATTGTCGGACTTAGGAGTAAGCAGGACACGCCTAATCTGTAGTACTGATCAAGTTGTTCTAGAAGGGATTCACGCGCAGCACCGACAATTTTATTCAAAAACATATTATTCTGCGGAATAAAAAAGTTAGCAAATTTCCCACGATACACAGAGAGAGAGAGATATTTTAAACACAGCCAAAAGCATTTCAGTAGATATTTAGGACTCCAGTTTACATGTCCAACTTGCATTAACCAAAACATTGTAGTCTTCATGAAGTAAGAACACAGTAATGGTTCTTCTGCGTTCTTATTAATTACTTCAGTGAGAAATATTTTAAGAAGACCATAGCATATAAATTGGGTATGATTCATAGTGTACACTAGTTTTTGCTCGGCTAGAGAAAAAGACAATCTCCACTCTAAATCATTTCTACTGGTAGTACATTTACTCCCAATAGTCACACAGTGATAACCATTGTTTAGAATCTCTTTAAGCACACTTGCAGGGGGCCATATATGCCTAAGGCATCTTTTTATCCAGTTTTCTGTAGTACTTGGCCAATATTTGCAGCTAAAACAAAATGTTATATCAAATTGAGTAGATTCAAGGTAACCACTCATACAAGGACCATGAAGATATATATTTTGTAGACTGTGACTTTTATGTTGTGAGAGTCTTTGTCTCCATAAAAAACTAGATACATAAGTTTTTTCATTGAAAAAAATTATTGACGATCTGATGGATTCGGAGCAAGGTGGTGTTAAGAGCTGTAGTAGTGTTAAATCTAAAGCAAACTAGCATGGCGCGGCGCCATGCCCTTTTTTCTCAGCGCCATGCCCTTTTTTCCTGCGCCATGCCCTTTTTTCCAAAAATAAATTCAAAATTTCCGCCATTTTCTCGGTAAATATTGTTATACGGGCACTTTTTGGTCGATATACGGGCACTTGTTGATCTATATACGGGCATCTCTTACCTACATACGGGCACTTTTAATAACTATCAACAGAGACGCCATATTGAATTTTTTGTATTGACCTAATTTTAAAGACGACAATGCCGACTTCAGAGAGGTCCAAACGCAAGCGAATCGAAGAAAACGAGAAGCAAGCAAGGCAATGCAGACGGCTGTTCCAATTCTTCAGCAGGTATATTCTTGAAAATTGTTAATCATACATTGTTTCACGAAACAACTAACGTTATACAAACGATCAGCTGATCGGAATGACCTAAATTAAGTCGAAGAAAAGATGCACTGTTGGTTTCCAAAATGATTTGAAATTATAATAATTATAATTGATTAAGGTTTACACACAACCGTGATTCTGTTTCAGTTTATATTTTTGACAAATGATAATCAAATTCCTTGCACTAGGTCTATAGTACTACAATCAGAGGGTCGAGGTCAATGTTCAAAGTTCACGAGTTCATAATCATGATTATTGAAAAGACTATTTCAAGATGATATTTTTAACAATCTACATATATTTATATATATGATCAACACTGCATTATTTGTCTTAATTATTTGTAGTTATACTATAATCTATATTTATATTATAATATTACACCATGTCATTGTGAATAAATATGGTAATTTAGATTGAGAAGAGTTACAGAAAAGGTAAAAGATATGTTATTAACAATTGTTATAAGTGATTATGATTAATGAATGTGTGTTGAAATAAAGATTGGGAACAACAAAGGTGTCAATTAGCACCCAAGTCCCGGAGTGTATGTTAATAAAATTAGAGATATCCCAGCAAATAGCGAGATATCTCAAATGTGTGAAAGTCGAATGTTTTTAGGTATATAGAATTACTCAATCCATATCCAAGACAATACGGAACCTGCTAAAGCTTTTCACTCAGAATAATTATGTCCCCCCTCAAAGAAGAGAGGGCATATTGCTTTGCTGCTTTTGGTTGATTTGTCCATCATCAATTTTCGTTCATTTGCTTTAACAATAGACCCTTTTCCTATGACATATTTCGCTACTCATAAGAAAAATAGTGTTATCTTTAAGTTTACCTCAGTAACTAGTTTAACAAATTGAACTTCTTGAAGGGATCTAGGAATATTTCCCTAGGCTACAATATGATGGCTAAGGGGAAAAACTCTTAAGCAAAAGATTCATAGGAAAAAGGGTCTATTGCAGAGGTCAGGTGGCACGTATTGAAATGAAATTTGGTGTACAATTTTATCAAAAGAATATTGATGTCATTTTCAGTTTTGGGCATGATCAAGGGATTATGAATAGAGCATTAATTGCACCAGTGGAGTCTTATTATTATGTTTCATTATGTCACAATTATTTATTCACAATAACATGGTATACCGTATAAAATTATGTAATTACATGATTCAGTTTGTCACACTATTAGTATTAGATACCATATTACTGAGGGCAACATATACTATAGTTATGCAGTTTTAAGACAAAAAATTAATGAATTTTTAAAATATTTCAGGCCAGAATCACCATCCCTCTCGAGAGCTGATGAATCCCAGGAGGAGGAGATGTGTTCTTCACCAATGCCACTGCCAGACATCGATCTTCTAGATTCAACTGCAGAGCCAAGCACCCCTTTAGAGTCTAGGACAGAGTCAAGTGCCCTCCCTAACCTTCACGATTCCAGGACCCATGCTACATCTAGCCCAGTGACTGACCGTACCAGAAACAACTCGGGACACAAGATGAACTTTGACCCTAATTGGCAGATCAACCGACCCTGGCTCATCAATGAAGTGGAGTACAGCAGTGATGGTTTTTCCTTTGATGCTATGTACTGCAGCCTCTGCCGTAAATGGGACACCAAAGGCCGTAACAACAGCAAGGTCTGGAATACTACAGGTTGCGTTTCCACCCGCCTAGATGTTGTCACCAAGCACGAGTCATCTGAGATGCACAAAGATGCAGTGTTCAAAGAGATGGCAATGGACAAAGGCATTGAGGCAGCATTTGAGACCATGAACAAGAAAGAAATCCAGGCCTTAAAGGATGCCCAGAAAGTCTTGTACTTCCTGATCCAGCATAATCTACCATACCTGACCCTGTACGAGCCATTGATGGATCTTTGCATCGCACTAGGAGCCACAAATCTCCAACATCTGCCCAACACAAAGAATGCAACTTACAGAAGTGCAGCCACAGCCACAGAGTTCCTCGACTGCCAGGCAGAAGTTGTTGAGACCAGAGTGTCTGAAAGTATTAAGACAAGCGAGTCCTATGGTTTGATGGTGGACGAGTACACGGACATCAGTGCCAGGAAACATTTGGCCATGGTGTGCAGATTTGTCGACAACGGAGCATCCAGGCTGGCATTTCTCCAGGATGTTAAACTTTCAAATGGGGAAGCTGAGACCATTTACTCCGCAATGAAGGGTTATCTCGCCTCCAAGGAAATACCCCTGCGAAAGATGACATCCTTTGCCAGTGATGGGCCTGCAGTAATGGTGGGGAAGAGAAATGGGGTGGTTGCCAAACTTCAACATGACAACCCAGAAGTTCTGCATCTTCATTGCATGAATCATCGACTGCAGCTTGCTGTATCAAAGGCCTTCAAGTCCATCCCCATGATAAGCAACACAGATGAGCTGCTCACAGCACTTTTTAAGTACTACCATTACAGCACAGTCCGTTCAGAGAGCTTGCAGGCCATTCAGAATTTGATGAGGGAGACGGGAGAGTTAGAAAACCAAAACAACATCACGGTGAAGAGGGCTGTACACACAAGATGGTTAAGTCATGAGGCAGCTGTTCAGACTGTTAGGAAGTTGTATGCACCCATACTGACTGATCTTGAAAATGCGGTTGCCTCAGGACGGGATAAAGTCATTAGAGATGGAAAGGGAACCCCAGCAAGCAGCCTCCTTAAGATGCTAAAAAACTATGACAAGCTGTACTTTATCCATCTCCTTTGTGACATTTGCACATCCTTGGCCTCCCTTACCAGGACATTCGAAAGGGAAGATGTGGATCTTTCAATTATTGAATCGAGGGTAACAGCAACACTTTCAACCCTTAGGAAAATGAAAGAGAGAGACCCTCCCTTTACAAGCAAAGTTCCATCTGTTGCACAGAGTTTGGGAATTGCGACCAAGGATGACACTCACCAGACAATTCAGGCAGCCAAAAACCAGTTCATCGACAACCTGACGAGCAACATTGAGGACAGACTGGAGAATTCCTCCCTGATTGACAGCCTTTCTGTTCTCAACCTCAGTGCAGTTGACCCAAACAACCTTGCTTTCTATGGGGATGCAGCTCTTTCCTCCCTAGCAAACCACTTCAACCTGGACGAGGAACTCACATTACATGAGTGGAGTGAAATGAAAGAGTTTTTTAGGAGCAGCCTGGAGGTGTGCACCCCAAAGTACTTGCTAGACACCCTGACAAAGGCAAGAGCAACAACTGGAGAAATGTTTCCAAACATCAGGAGGCTGTTGGCTATTGCAGAGTCACTGATCATCTCCACTTCTGCAGTAGAGAGGGTTTTCAGCAGAGTGAAGCTCACAGTAACCACTCACAGGAACCGTTTATCTGTAAACACTGTCAGTAAGCTGTTGACTGTGGGCCTCAACACCAACTCAGTTGAAGACCTAGACCTGGAAAAGGTTGTGAAACTCTATCTGAGTAAGAAGAATAGAAGAATCCTCAGAGTCCAGCCTTCAAGTTCCAAGTGAATCTGTGCCTGAATAAGATGTGACAGTTAGTTCTTATTTACAGTGAGAAAAGAAACTCTTGTCAGTTGTGATATATGTTCTTAAAGTTGACAGTTTTTAAAAAGATTTTATTGATATTTTATTTTATGACATGTGACCTATTTATTTTGTTTTCTGAAAAATATTTAAAACTAGTCTAATTGATTTTTAGATTTTTGTGCAAATACTCTATGTCTTTCAAAGTTAACACATGCATAATATGTATTGATTATCTACCTCATTTGAAATGAAATGTGATATTTTTAAAAATGTATTTATTTATAACATGCCTGATTATTTATTAACTACTCTGAATTGTCCTTCAAGTATTGTCTTATCTAGGTAATAGTATCTAAGTGACAAAGACATTTTATCATTATTTAAAATAATGTATAGTACTAGTAGCTAGTATGAATTGAAGTGTCTCTCTTTTATAATGTTATGATGCATTATTTATTTTTTTTTGTTTTAATAATTTAATAGTAGCTAGAATGAATTGAAGTGTCTTTCTATATTATAAATGTTAAGATGCATAGTTTATTTAATTGTCATGAAACAAGTCATATTCATCATGTTCATATGTGCCATTTTTCATAAATTATAAATATATTGTCTCTGTTGAAATATGCAATGTTAAAAAAAATATAGATTTAATAAAATCATTGTGAATAAACACTTCTGTTTTCTCATTTCACAAGGTTGAAAAGTTGAAAAAAGGGAGCAACATGTTTTAACTTGTTAAAAGGCTAAAGGATTATTTATTAATTTATACTACGATAAAATAAAAGTGCCCTGAGATTGCCTTGCCGCGACGGAAAGTGCCCTTTTTAGCATATCAAATGTGTGCCCTTCTCAGATCCTGGATTTAACACTAGCTGTAGTCTAATAAAACCTGGAGATGTATCTGTGTCCTCCGTCAGTATAATATTATGATGTTTTGATGAATTGAAATTTCTTAGTTGAGAAATATCATTTATTAGTTTATTACAAGAAGACCATGCCATGTAATCCTGGTCCGATGTATCAAACCTGAACCCCTCCCTATAACTACCGCTAAGCATGGTTCTTTTTGAACAAGGGTCGCGTTTTCCCTGACAGGTATAACATTTACACATAAAATTATTTCTAAGCAGTAAGTCATCAATATCCGTTACATCCCTTCTGATGGCCACTTTACTCGGTGTTCCTGTCTTACGACTCAGATGTGCATATAGGATTTCTGATAGACGGGGAATGTGATCCATTCTGTAAATTAAGTATAAAGAATAAGTAATTATGGGTATGTATTCAGTTAGACATTGAAAAGTAAACAGCTTGTTTCTTATATATATATATATATATATATATATATATATATATATATATATATATATATATATATATATATATATATATATATATATATATATATATATATATATATATATATATATATATATATATATATATATATATATATATATATATATATATATATATATATATATATATATATATATATATATATATATATATATATATGTAGGACTCCAAAGTGCGATGGGACTCCAAAGTCCGATGGTCACGCCAAAGTCCGATGGTCTGCGCCAAACCCCGATGGTTTGACACGCCAGAGTCTGACGGTGCGGAAAACAATTAACGTTTATGACGTCATAGTAGCACTGCGCCCAAACCTCAATGCCGCGACGTGCAAAGGTCTTTAAAATAAATATAAATAAATGCGAAAACTAACCCTTAACTCTCAGGCAGGTGCGAGACTAACGCTCAAAAAGTGTGTATTAAGAATAACCTAAATATCTTGAGTTGGGGCAAGACTAACCCTAATCACTCGACTTGGGTGCGAGGATTAACCTTAATTCACTCGGGTTGTGCAATGCAAGGACTAACCCTAATCAATCGAGTGGTGTGCGAGGACTAACCCTAATATCTCTTAAAGGTGCTAGCAATAAGCAAAATCAATTATAAAATTGTATTCGAGGACGAATTCAGAAATGACGGCTTTTGAATGCAAGACAACGGCGTCAAGGATTGACGTCGGATTATTGTGACGTCATAAACGTTGATTGTTCATCCACACCATCGGACTTCGGCGTGTCAGACCATCGCACTTTAGCGTCGCGCGTCTCATAGGAAACGAGCCATCGGACTTTGGCGTAGCCATCGGACTTTCGCGCCTGTAAAGACAATGAGCCATCGGGGTTTGGCGCAGACCATCGGGGTTTGGCGAGACCATCGGACTTTGGCGTCACCATCGGACTTTGGAGTCTTACATATATATATATATATATATATATATATATATATATATATATATATATATATAGAGAGAGAGAGAGAGAGAGAGAGAGAGAGAGAGAGAGAGAGAGAGAGAGAGAGAGAGAGAGAGAGAGAGAGAGAGAGAGAGAGAGAGAGAGAGAGAGAGAGAGAGAGGCACATTCAAAAGTTAGAAACTAACTAACTTGATGAATAGGACCGTTTACACATAAAATATGAAAATCTACATTATATATGAAATGGATTTTTTTTGATTTTCTTTCAAAATATTGATTTGGTAAGATTATGCTATTATTATTAACAGTTTTTTCATTTAAATTCTTTTAATTTCAGAAGCGAATCATAGTATATAAATTTAAGTGCAGAATATCGGATTCGGATCACTTTATTAAGTAATATTTAAAGAATGTACAGTACAGGCAACGCGGATCCCGTATTCCCCGCGTCCCCGCCGCGGTATAATCACAACGCGGTATTTGGCCAGGTAGACAGGTAAACCGCGTTCCCTCCGCGGGAAATTCATTACTTACCTGTCCCCGCCGCGGTTAAATCATCGATCAATTACTGACAATTAGTATCGTAAACAAACGGGAGTTATCTCCCCGAATTGTAATTTGCGAATTTTCCCCGTAACCAAAAAAAAAAAAAAAAAAAAAACAACAACAACAAAAAAAAACGTGTGTTTATTAATAAATTTTTGAATAGAATTTAAACTAAGAAAAAATAAGTTTATTTTTGTTTCTAAGATTACATAACAATCCTTGAAATTGAATAGAAAATTATATTAAATTGTTACGTCTTTGCAATTGGTTAATTGTTTTGTGTTGTTAAGAATCTATCAAGAAACAAAATTAAATACTAGAAATTTAGTTGTTGTTTTTTTTAATTTTCATATGATAAGCAAACTGTAATAAATGTTGAACTCGGACTGTTTTTAAGTTTCGATAAACGATTTTCAGCATTCATTTGAAAAAAAAGATGTACATCTTTTTAAAAATGTACATCTTCATATTGTTTATTAATTAATTTCGATTTATTGTATATAAAATGTACAGGCTTTTTCTTAAAGTGTCAAATTACCGGAAAACATTCGATGACGAGCGTTTGCAATTACATGTAGTGGGCACGTGAACTTAAATTTTCTTTATCCAAGATATCAAGAAAAAGTTTTATTTTTCTTTATTTCTCATCGTTTATGTTCTGTTCCCAAATTAAGAAAACTTTACTTTATTTTATTTACCTCTTTTACATAAATGTGCAGGCATTTTTCTCAAATTGCCAAATGACCGGATCCGAAAGCATTCGATGACGAGAGTTAACTTTGAGCACGTGAACTTTATACAAGAGATCAAGAAAAAATACTGTTTTCACCTTCATATTAACATGATTAACATGTATTACTTTTTAAAACAATGTCTTTCTTTTTAATTTTAATATTCCTCGATTTTCGTGTTCAATAGATAAGATAGGATGTGCAGGTGTAATGATAAACTTCACAGACGAAATTATAGCTTATATTAATAAATATTCAACGCAAAAAAAAATATATTTTTGTTATCTTTGACAAATTCTGTTTCTTTGTGTATTAAGTATTAGCCGCGATCATTTCCTGTGTATAGGGATTAGCAGTGTCTGAGCAGGAAACGACATGCCCTGGGGGTTTCACACCTGTCTATTAGTATACCTTGGGTAATGCTCGCTGGATGTGCACATTGTTGTCTAGCCATTCAACAACACATTTGATTCATTATTTCATTGTTTCATTATTATTTCATCGATATCATTTTCAGATGCGATATTAGCCTTGGAATTTGTGTCAAATTATTGTTGCTTTTTTTAAACGGAGTGTATAAAAAGAATAAAAGTTAAAAAAAAAACTTTTAAAACAAATTAATGAAGTATTTGATATTAATTAAATCAAATAATGATCCATTACTATGTTATTTCGTGTCAGTTTATATCTGTACCAGTTAGAAGATTGAAAGAGAGAGAGAGAGGAGATAGAGAGAAGAAAAATATCACAATATTAAGGCACGAGCATGATCGTTTTTCCTCCTTTTTGATCTGTATATCAATTTATTAAGTCTAGCGAATAAAACTACTGCTGATTTATCAGTTTATTGACCATTTGTGGATTTTGTCTACATGTAAGTTTAATTGTTATTTATCGAGAGACTTGTTTATGATCCACTTTCTTCTTTCGTTTAGCATGTTTAGCATATGGACAAGACATGTAATTTGAATCACTTCCCTTTTTGTCGCCAGATTACAACGACAGATTTTGGTGGTAAAAAAAATGTATTTTTGTTATAAAATTTGATTAAGAAAAACACAGTATATTAAAATTGTTGAATTATTGAAAATATTTATTTGAAACAAAAAATTTGAAAAGGATTCGGTCTGCAACAACATTCTTTATTTCATGCATTTCAATTCATGAGCTACACATGAAGAAAAAAAAACGGCTTCGTTTTACAATGTCGTAGGAAAACGCATACAGGTAATACTCTCAGGTTACAACATCCTGTGTATATAGGTAGTATGTACACTAGACAGCGTCGTTCCCTCGGGGCTTCTCATCCGCTTCGAGTAAGCTCCACTCCACACCAAACTTACCTGAGGAAAACCGAACGGTTACACAGACTTCTGAAAACTTGAATCATGGGAACTTGCTGATTAAAATAAGTTAATTTCTGTGTTGTGTGTTCAGATATTTTAAGGGCCCATATTTGTGTTTGTGTTTTATTTAAGGTATCCGATCCATAATTCAATAAAAATTGATACATGGAAAGCATATGATTTATTTATTGAGTATTGATGATCACCCCATGGGGGATACAAAAACTAGGTCATCAAGGGTGATAACTCATAAGGAGAGATAACTCTGGATGTTTTCAAAATTTTTAAAATTTGATTCACAGCATTCATAAAATGACAGAAATGTATTAAAAACAATAAAAGTCAATTTAAATACCTGTTGTATTTTATCATTTATATATAAATACATGAAAAACAAAAAAAAATTCAACATTTACAATTTCTGCAAGTGAAATTATACAAAAAAACCCACATTTTTGGTCGTTAAAAAATTAACAATTTTGGTTAATTTGAATAATTTATAATTCTCTTATATAACTGGAAGCAATATTTTCTTTTGTGTTTAATCTATAGGGCAGCAACAGTAGTTAAAAATAAATAGGTCATCAGGGGCAACAACTCACAAAGGGAGATAACTCATAAGCAACTTTTCGAGAAAGTAAAGTAAACAAATTTTCTACGGTTTCAACCTGATATTTTCACAACACTAAATGTATTTCTCTCAAATTTCAAGCTAATAAATCATAGAAATATCTGTCTAAAATATTAATATATCAATGTTTGCTCTGTTCCAAGTTTGTATTGCTTGAATGGACATTTGACGTTGATTATACAATTTTACACATAATAACATATCAATTGCTAAAATATGCACATAGTTTTGGAATACATTCTCCTAACACTCTTTTGTCTGACGTGACTCTTGGTTTCTCTAAACTATTTTACAATTTTACACATAATAACATATCATTTGCTAAAATATGCACAAAGTTTTGGAATACATTCTCCCAACACTTTTTTGTCTGATGTGACTCTTGGCTTCCCTAAGCTATTTTACAATTTTACACATAATAACATATCATTTGCTAAAATATGCACACAGTTTTGGAATACATTCTCCCAACACCTTTTTGTCTGATGTGACTCTTGGTTTTCCTTACCTAAACTATTTTTCATAGAAAACACATTAACCAGTCCATCTTCACCACTTCTCTTGAATATCAGTCTCAAATGACCCAGATTCAGTCCAGATCCAGCAATATTTTCTACCGTGCAGGATTTCATTACTTTTTCACCAATAAGAGGGCGAAGTGAAGCAACATTTTTTGATTTACAAGAATTAAATTCTTCTTGAAGAAATTGGCAATCTGTATCATACGAATGTTTTTTAAAGTCTGAAACAGAGATAAGTCCTGCTTCAATAATTTCATCTAGCATGACAACATCATCAAGAGCATTATGGGCATTGTAAGTATGACCACAAAAATGCTGTGCCAGAAATTCTTGCTTATACTTATCAAGTTTAGGGTACTTTTGTCTGAAAAGAGTAAGCGAGTCACAAAATGCTGCAACATTAGAGCAAAATCTCTCTTGCAAACCACATCTATGAAATGCCCTGCATAATACTCGAAAATCGAATGTTCGGCCATTGTGTGCTACCATTACTATGCTGGGAAATTTCTCTAACCACTCCAAGAAACCCTCCAGTGCCGACTTTACTCTCACAAAATCAACTGGCTCACCACGGTAACATAGAACTCCACCACTCCAGGTTATGTTGGTGACCTTTTCCGCCATTGGTGTAATGGGCAGGTCTGGAGCCACATATCTGGAGAACTGCTCCTTTATATTCCTATTTACAGCAGCAATCTGGGTGATGTGGGGCACAATGCCATGCTGAACTGAAAAAAAATATGGATGCAAATTTTTATGGTAGTCCAATCTTATCTGATTACATAGAGTATTTTAAATAAATATTTTTAAAAAAATATTTACTCAGGCCAGTGGTTTCCAGATCTAAAATGACAACATTTGGTGAAGGGCAGTGCTTCAACTTTGTGGAGGAGCAAAAGCTTGGTTTTGGCACAGGCTCAGGGATACTTTCTATATCTTCTTTATCATTGACAGAAAGTCCTATTTCTAAAACAAAAAAAAATGTTTTTATATTGTACACTGTACATACTAAAATAATTGTGAAAATTTCTGCATCTGAAAAATGACAAACCAGACTGATAGGACAATCCTTCCATTGCTTCATTTCCTCCCTTTGAGGTTGCTCTCTCTTCCTTCAACGTCAGCCTTCTTCTCTTTCTCTCTGGTAACCTGGCCCGCTCCATCCTCTTCATCCTGTCAGCGTCCATCTTCTCTGCATAGGACTCGGAGAAGTGTCCAGGAGACAGGTCATTGTTGACGAAAGTCTGTATGTATTACAAAATAAAATACTTGAGTTCACAACATTATTGTAGTAAATTTTTATAGATTAAATTTAATTTCTCATGAGTCATGATCTTTATTTCCCAACAAATTCTTAGTGTCCTATTTTTGAGTCTTATTGTTATTTTGATAAAAATGCAGAAAATATGTTGTAACTTCATCAAAATGTTGTATCAAACATTTATCACATAAGTAATATCCTACCGGAAATTCCCAGTAATTGTAAACATGTAATAAATAGAAGTTATTATATTAGTGCTTCAACAATACCAGATCTTTAGTGTCTGAAAAAGTAAACGCAGAATGGCAGAACAAAGAAAATTAACAAATGTCAACATTTCAACCAATCCCAACAAGAAATAACAAGAACAGAAGTACCTTTCAAAATTCCAACTTGTATCACCAGAAATTTCAATAAACAACAGAAAAGAAAGAACTGAACCATGAACAATATACCTCTGACAAGTACTTTCTACCCTTATTAATATATGCTGCTGTTGCTTTCACTCTAAAATCTAAACTCTCACTTTCGCCATAATGGAGATGCTTCGGAACTCTAAGACATGTCTCTCTATTGGCATGTTCACATGCCTGACTTGACCCTAATTCTACATATGAAGCACTTTTGGCAATGATTGGAGCAAAAATTTCATCAAGACTATGACGTAACAATGGATCCTGCAACGGTACTTTATATGGCAAACTTCTATGAATGTAAGTTTCATTAGGTTTACGTTTATACCCACAAAACCTCCCATGACATTTGCTGTGGTCACCAAACTGATGTGGAACCAATGCTACCAAATTTTCTCGCATTCCCTCTTCATCACCTTGATTCTTCGCAAATATGTATTTGATGCACTTTGCTAAATGCTGTATGACCTGATTGGAAATTTTGACCACTTTCGAATTGCGAAGTTCATAAAAAGTTTTTATAATATTTTTAACACAATGATTTTTGTCAAGTCTTTTCACAACTGACAGACCACACTGACTCTTTAGACGGGCGATTAGAGTGTTTTCCCCATCACCTTCAATAATCTCAACTGGTGTACCTTGACTGGTCATTTCTTTCAGTGCAAGTAGTCCAGCCTCACTCTCCATCATCTTAGCACTGCCTCGGTGGTTCCAAACACATCTGTGAGACCTTATTCTCTGACCTGGCCTATTTCTTTTCCACCATTTGCATGTTGCACATGACCGATGCTTGATAACTGTCTTTAATACTTTGTTCCTTTTACTTATCAGGTAAGTATGTCCTATTACAAAGAAATACATGATTTTGTTACAGCCCATATCTACATAAGCATTATAATTAATTATACAAATGTTGGAATAGTTTCAACAAAATACCTGTTAAGCTGTCATAACCTCTCTTTTGCCAAGCATGATCAGCTGCTACTGTCATTCCTGATCGTGTCTTTGAGGGGAATATAATTTTCTTTTTTGTTTTGGCTGATGCAGTTCTGTCAACACCAACTTTTTTCACTACTGGCATTGGTTTGGCAGGAAGTTGAGGGGATGTACTATTACTGAAAGCATGGTTACAACTGACATATTATATAGGTTCTTGATGTATGTGACTATCAGCTAAAATAGTACCCAAATTGAAATACAGATTTATTTACCTCTCAGTCAGTAAATCAAATGCTCCCATATTGCATTTTTCAATGAGTGATGGATCTCTACAAATAACATATGGATTTTAAAAATAAAAAAGAAAATGATTCTTGGGAAACAGTATATACTCTTTCAATCAAATATATTATATGCTCGAACTTCAAATATTTACCCTTCAAATTCATCTTCAATTATTGCGACACCAAGTTCTTTATCATAAAAATCTGCATTTGAATCCATCTCCTGTGCTGCAACTTCTCTGAAATTAGCCAAACATATAATGAATTTTAAAAAGTCATCAAAAAATTAAATAAAAGGAAGATAAATATTCAAAAGTATGCTTTCATTAGTAATAATAACATTTTATACAAGTATACATACCCCATTTCCTCTCTGAATGCCTTTTGACTTTCATTTCTCATATTTTCATCTGCAAATTTCTCAATCATCTCACCAGCTCTGCGTTCCATAACTTTAAGGTTTTTATTATTAATTGTTGGCAGATTGAGTGTTGCAAGAAAATTGTTCATCCTCTGTGGACCACCAACTGAATCAATCATTGCTATCAAAAAGAAATTCATAAATTTATAAGAAACCCATCTATCTACATGGAAGTTTTATATCCTAGTGTAAAAAAAATCACAAGAAACTTGGCTCACTTTGTTTAATTTTATAAACTTAATCACTAGTCATGTTACATTATCCTTAATATAGAATTGTAATCAATGTTATCATTTTGTAAAAATTGTTCATGCCCCCCGTGGGCCCTTGATTGGTGAATAAACATAATAATATAGTAAATATATAAACAATAACTACCTGCACCGAGTTTAGTATTCACGCAGAAGCTGGGCATTCCTCTCTTGCCTTTTACCTTCTTCTGTTTTTTCCCATAGGGTACTCTGTTTACATTACCGCAGTAGGTACATTGCACATATAAATACCCCGAAAGTCCCACTTTCATTTCTGCTTTTACTGTTTGAGGGGAAAGAAATAAAGGACCACAAAAAAATTTCTTACAGTTCGCAAGACCTTCAATGAGTATGTTAAATTCCACAATACGTCTTCCTTTTAGTTTCAAACTGTTCGTGTTGATTTTCTTCGCTGCATTCAACTTACTTAGCCCTGGACAGCATACATCACAGCCGTTGAAACTTGTACAAATATGTTCTGATGTATAATTATGTTCTTCGATCACATTTTTCTTTTTGTTTTCACTGACTTTTGGCTGTATTCCCGGCTGACTTTTGAACCGCCCGAGTTTGTTCCGTCTTCTTTTCACTGGCGCCATGACGGAAATTGACAGTCTCGAGAATTCTCGTGCGCGTTATTTTTAAATTTAAAGCTTGGGTTATTTCATAGTCATATTCATACGTTTCAACGTTTACTTAGAATAATATAAATAATGTATTTTTGTAAATTAAAAAAAAAAATATATGGAACGTTTAGTTTTCCGATCTTGTACGACATGTTCCGAAGTCGGCCGATTTCATAGAGGCGAATTGTGGATCGGATACCTTAAGGTATCCGATCCATAATTCAATAAAAATTGATACATGGAAAGCATATGATTTATTTATTGAGTATTGATGATCACCCCATGGGGGATACAAAAACTAGGTCATCAAGGGTGATAACTCATAAGGAGAGATAACTCTGGATGTTTTCAAAATTTTTAAAATTTGATTCACAGCATTCATAAAATGACAGAAATGTATTAAAAACAATAAAAGTCAATTTAAATACCTGTTGTATTTTATCATTTATATATAAATACATGAAAAACAAAAAAAAATTCAACATTTACAATTTCTGCAAGTGAAATTATACAAAAAAACCCACATTTTTGGTCGTTAAAAAATTAACAATTTTGGTTAATTTGAATAATTTATAATTCTCTTATATAACTGGAAGCAATATTTTCTTTTGTGTTTAATCTATAGGGCAGCAACAGTAGTTAAAAATAAATAGGTCATCAGGGGCAACAACTCACAAAGGGAGATAACTCATAAGCAACTTTTCGAGAAAGTAAAGTAAACAAATTTTCTACGGTTTCAACCTGATATTTTCACAACACTAAATGTATTTCTCTCAAATTTCAAGCTAATAAATCATAGAAATATCTGTCTAAAATATTAATATATCAATGTTTGCTCTGTTCCAAGTTTGTATTGCTTGAATGGACATTTGACGTTGATTATACAATTTTACACATAATAACATATCAATTGCTAAAATATGCACATAGTTTTGGAATACATTCTCCTAACACTCTTTTGTCTGACGTGACTCTTGGTTTCTCTAAACTATTTTACAATTTTACACATAATAACATATCATTTGCTAAAATATGCACAAAGTTTTGGAATACATTCTCCCAACACTTTTTTGTCTGATGTGACTCTTGGCTTTCCTAAGCTATTTTACAATTTTACACATAATAACATATCATTTGCTAAAATATGCACACAGTTTTGGAATACATTCTCCCAACACCTTTTTGTCTGATGTGACTCTTGGTTTTCCTTACCTAAACTATTTTTCATAGAAAACACATTAACCAGTCCATCTTCACCACTTCTCTTGAATATCAGTCTCAAATGACCCAGATTCAGTCCAGATCCAGCAATATTTTCTACCGTGCAGGATTTCATTACTTTTTCACCAATAAGAGGGCGAAGTGAAGCAACATTTTTTGATTTACAAGAATTAAATTCTTCTTGAAGAAATTGGCAATCTGTATCATACGAATGTTTTTTAAAGTCTGAAACAGAGATAAGTCCTGCTTCAATAATTTCATCTAGCATGACAACATCATCAAGAGCATTATGGGCATTGTAAGTATGACCACAAAAATGCTGTGCCAGAAATTCTTGCTTATACTTATCAAGTTTAGGGTACTTTTGTCTGAAAAGAGTAAGCGAGTCACAAAATGCTGCAACATTAGAGCAAAATCTCTCTTGCAAACCACATCTATGAAATGCCCTGCATAATACTCGAAAATCGAATGTTCGGCCATTGTGTGCTACCATTACTATGCTGGGAAATTTCTCTAACCACTCCAAGAAACCCTCCAGTGCCGACTTTACTCTCACAAAATCAACTGGCTCACCACGGTAACATAGAACTCCACCACTCCAGGTTATGTTGGTGACCTTTTCCGCCATTGGTGTAATGGGCAGGTCTGGAGCCACATATCTGGAGAACTGCTCCTTTATATTCCTATTTACAGCAGCAATCTGGGTGATGTGGGGCACAATGCCATGCTGAACTGAAAAAAAATATGGATGCAAATTTTTATGGTAGTCCAATCTTATCTGATTACATAGAGTATTTTAAATAAATATTTTTAAAAAAATATTTACTCAGGCCAGTGGTTTCCAGATCTAAAATGACAACATTTGGTGAAGGGCAGTGCTTCAACTTTGTGGAGGAGCAAAAGCTTGGTTTTGGCACAGGCTCAGGGATACTTTCTATATCTTCTTTATCATTGACAGAAAGTCCTATTTCTAAAACAAAAAAAAATGTTTTTATATTGTACACTGTACATACTAAAATAATTGTGAAAATTTCTGCATCTGAAAAATGACAAACCAGACTGATAGGACAATCCTTCCATTGCTTCATTTCCTCCCTTTGAGGTTGCTCTCTCTTCCTTCAACGTCAGCCTTCTTCTCTTTCTCTCTGGTAACCTGGCCCGCTCCATCCTCTTCATCCTGTCAGCGTCCATCTTCTCTGCATAGGACTCGGAGAAGTGTCCAGGAGACAGGTCATTGTTGACGAAAGTCTGTATGTATTACAAAATAAAATACTTGAGTTCACAACATTATTGTAGTAAATTTTTATAGATTAAATTTAATTTCTCATGAGTCATGATCTTTATTTCCCAACAAATTCTTAGTGTCCTATTTTTGAGTCTTATTGTTATTTTGATAAAAATGCAGAAAATATGTTGTAACTTCATCAAAATGTTGTATCAAACATTTATCACATAAGTAATATCCTACCGGAAATTCCCAGTAATTGTAAACATGTAATAAATAGAAGTTATTATATTAGTGCTTCAACAATACCAGATCTTTAGTGTCTGAAAAAGTAAACGCAGAATGGCAGAACAAAGAAAATTAACAAATGTCAACATTTCAACCAATCCCAACAAGAAATAACAAGAACAGAAGTACCTTTCAAAATTCCAACTTGTATCACCAGAAATTTCAATAAACAACAGAAAAGAAAGAACTGAACCATGAACAATATACCTCTGACAAGTACTTTCTACCCTTATTAATATATGCTGCTGTTGCTTTCACTCTAAAATCTAAACTCTCACTTTCGCCATAATGGAGATGCTTCGGAACTCTAAGACATGTCTCTCTATTGGCATGTTCACATGCCTGACTTGACCCTAATTCTACATATGAAGCACTTTTGGCAATGATTGGAGCAAAAATTTCATCAAGACTATGACGTAACAATGGATCCTGCAACGGTACTTTATATGGCAAACTTCTATGAATGTAAGTTTCATTAGGTTTACGTTTATACCCACAAAACCTCCCATGACATTTGCTGTGGTCACCAAACTGATGTGGAACCAATGCTACCAAATTTTCTCGCATTCCCTCTTCATCACCTTGATTCTTCGCAAATATGTATTTGATGCACTTTGCTAAATGCTGTATGACCTGATTGGAAATTTTGACCACTTTCGAATTGCGAAGTTCATAAAAAGTTTTTATAATATTTTTAACACAATGATTTTTGTCAAGTCTTTTCACAACTGACAGACCACACTGACTCTTTAGACGGGCGATTAGAGTGTTTTCCCCATCACCTTCAATAATCTCAACTGGTGTACCTTGACTGGTCATTTCTTTCAGTGCAAGTAGTCCAGCCTCACTCTCCATCATCTTAGCACTGCCTCGGTGGTTCCAAACACATCTGTGAGACCTTATTCTCTGACCTGGCCTATTTCTTTTCCACCATTTGCATGTTGCACATGACCGATGCTTGATAACTGTCTTTAATACTTTGTTCCTTTTACTTATCAGGTAAGTATGTCCTATTACAAAGAAATACATGATTTTGTTACAGCCCATATCTACATAAGCATTATAATTAATTATACAAATGTTGGAATAGTTTCAACAAAATACCTGTTAAGCTGTCATAACCTCTCTTTTGCCAAGCATGATCAGCTGCTACTGTCATTCCTGATCGTGTCTTTGAGGGGAATATAATTTTCTTTTTTGTTTTGGCTGATGCAGTTCTGTCAACACCAACTTTTTTCACTACTGGCATTGGTTTGGCAGGAAGTTGAGGGGATGTACTATTACTGAAAGCATGGTTACAACTGACATATTATATAGGTTCTTGATGTATGTGACTATCAGCTAAAATAGTACCCAAATTGAAATACAGATTTATTTACCTCTCAGTCAGTAAATCAAATGCTCCCATATTGCATTTTTCAATGAGTGATGGATCTCTACAAATAACATATGGATTTTAAAAATAAAAAAGAAAATGATTCTTGGGAAACAGTATATACTCTTTCAATCAAATATATTATATGCTCGAACTTCAAATATTTACCCTTCAAATTCATCTTCAATTATTGCGACACCAAGTTCTTTATCATAAAAATCTGCATTTGAATCCATCTCCTGTGCTGCAACTTCTCTGAAATTAGCCAAACATATAATGAATTTTAAAAAGTCATCAAAAAATTAAATAAAAGGAAGATAAATATTCAAAAGTATGCTTTCATTAGTAATAATAACATTTTATACAAGTATACATACCCCATTTCCTCTCTGAATGCCTTTTGACTTTCATTTCTCATATTTTCATCTGCAAATTTCTCAATCATCTCACCAGCTCTGCGTTCCATAACTTTAAGGTTTTTATTATTAATTGTTGGCAGATTGAGTGTTGCAAGAAAATTGTTCATCCTCTGTGGACCACCAACTGAATCAATCATTGCTATCAAAAAGAAATTCATAAATTTATAAGAAACCCATCTATCTACATGGAAGTTTTATATCCTAGTGTAAAAAAAATCACAAGAAACTTGGCTCACTTTGTTTAATTTTATAAACTTAATCACTAGTCATGTTACATTATCCTTAATATAGAATTGTAATCAATGTTATCATTTTGTAAAAATTGTTCATGCCCCCCGTGGGCCCTTGATTGGTGAATAAACATAATAATATAGTAAATATATAAACAATAACTACCTGCACCGAGTTTAGTATTCACGCAGAAGCTGGGCATTCCTCTCTTGCCTTTTACCTTCTTCTGTTTTTTCCCATAGGGTACTCTGTTTACATTACCGCAGTAGGTACATTGCACATATAAATACCCCGAAAGTCCCACTTTCATTTCTGCTTTTACTGTTTGAGGGGAAAGAAATAAAGGACCACAAAAAAATTTCTTACAGTTCGCAAGACCTTCAATGAGTATGTTAAATTCCACAATACGTCTTCCTTTTAGTTTCAAACTGTTCGTGTTGATTTTCTTCGCTGCATTCAACTTACTTAGCCCTGGACAGCATACATCACAGCCGTTGAAACTTGTACAAATATGTTCTGATGTATAATTATGTTCTTCGATCACATTTTTCTTTTTGTTTTCACTGACTTTTGGCTGTATTCCCGGCTGACTTTTGAACCGCCCGAGTTTGTTCCGTCTTCTTTTCACTGGCGCCATGACGGAAATTGACAGTCTCGAGAATTCTCGTGCGCGTTATTTTTAAATTTAAAGCTTGGGTTATTTCATAGTCATATTCATACGTTTCAACGTTTACTTAGAATAATATAAATAATGTATTTTTGTAAATTAAAAAAAAAAAAATATATGGAACGTTTAGTTTTCCGATCTTGTACGACATGTTCCGAAGTCGGCCGATTTCATAGAGGCGAATTGTGGATCGGATACCTTAAACCGGAGAAATCTGAAATTTGTTTATGTTCATAGACATGATTTTAGTAATTTTCGAAAAGAGCAGAAAATAGAAATACATTCAAACACTAGCTATGATATTATTGATATTCTGAATAGAATGACCTGTGATTATTTTATTTTCAATAACCCCCCCCCCCCCAAAAAAAATCGTCGATATTTAGTTCATAGTCTTATAGTGTAGCGCATAATAATGGAGCAATGGTATTCCTAAACTTAGGCGTCTTTTGTATGGAAGGGAATTACCGCCAAAAGTCTATGTATCTTGCTTTTATTCTTATTCTGCCTACTTCTTTATGCTTTGTTATTGTTGTAATTATATGTCACTTTATTGTTTTCGTATTCGTCTTTATTACATTACACTTGAGCTTTTATCGTTCTTTATATTGTCCTTACTTCTATGTTGCTTTATTCTTGTGGATACATTCTACTTTCTTTTAATTTGATACTGTTTTTTAAATAAACTATCTCTATTACCTCGATTACGAACGTTAATTCAATCATGTAAACAATGCCGCCTAGCGTTATAATGCGGCACTAAATTCAATGAAGACGAATGTAAGTTGTCCGAATTTAGTGCCGCATTATAACGCTAGGTGGCCGGGTGTTCGCTATACGAGTGTTGGTAAAAATAGGTAAGCAAACCCGGACCGGGGTTATTAAAGATTTTTCAATTTTCTGCCTTAATACTTTATCAATCGAACTTAAATTTTCAAATGATGTTTGTTATAAGTTCAGGTATGTACCCGATAATGCCATTCCCTCGGAAGATGGCAAGATTTCCCCTGGAAGACTGACTACATAGTGATGCTTCCTTCGGAAGACTATTCAGTGAGACTTCCCCCGGGGAGTTTCAATATATAGCTAGTCTTCCGTGGGAAATCTAGCTGTATATAGCAATTCGTCCCCCTTCATACCAATCCCTCCCCCGAATATTTTTTTAAATCGTAAAACAATGTTTATATGTTAACGTTTTCAATTTTATAAGAAAAGTTATACGTCCTACATAAATAAATGTTTAAATGAAACCATTTTAATAGTGGTTAATGAGCTTAAGGTCTTACGCAAGGAAATAGCCAATCAAAATGAACTTAGTTTAATAATTTAATCATTTTAACCATTTAGTTTAACATAGATAACCTTCACGAGTACAAATGGATAATGAATTCCGCCCCCGCCCCCCCCCCCCCCCCCCCCCGGATGCCCCTCCACTCGGGTGCAATCGCCCGCGTGGCACTGTGGTTACGGCGTCTGCTCTCTGGTCACGAAACACAGTAGTAAGGAGTCAATCAATACGTCGTGGGTTCGAATCCCACTATGGGACGTGGAGTTCGGTCCTTCGGATGAGATCTAGAGCGTATTATCCGAGGTCCCGTATCGCAGTAGGTGCTGGCCCGATAAAAGATCCCCCACTGCCCAATGGCTATAAGTGCCGAGTATATAGGACAAATTTGCAGCTATCCAACGGCAAGAGGTGGCTTCTCCATTTGAGTTAAAAATTCTCAAATTTAAAGGGACGTTATACAATCATACCCCCAAGTCTCAATATATATACTGACTTCCGTCTGTACGACATCCTATGGGGTAAGTTTCACCGGTAGAGGGGAGGATGCCACGAAACATTTTCCTAAACGTAACATACTTTTTACTACTGGAAAAGTTCAGCGAAAGGCTTGTTGCCCCCATCCCTTACACTTTTTGTTGCAGTACTAATCACATGCTAATACAATGTAGTCAATTCATATATTAAAGTAGTTAAATGTA